GGGGGGGCAGGGGAGAAATAAAAGAAAATGAGGCTATAGCCCAAGCACAGTGGAAGAAACAAAAAACCAATGACCTTAATAAACACAGGCTGAGCGTTATTTTAGAGATTTTTTTCTTTTCATATGCTTTACTTTGCATACATTTCATAAAATGAAACAGCTACATAAAAAAGAATACCCCTCCCAAAGCACTTTGTTATTAAAAACACACACTTGTACTATTAAAAGGGGGTGGGTGGAGGTGTGTAATATATGGCCAAAGAGAAGAGCATGCTGACTCTAGTACTACACATGAAGATTTGATTTTACAGCCTGTCTGGAAGAAACAAAAAAAGTTGAAAAGAGTGAAATTACCCTGCAAAGGATCTGTGGCTCTTCTTAAGTACAGAGGAGAAGGGTGGCTAAACTGCTAATACAGCACTAAGAAGCTCTTAGGACAGCAATGACCAAGCAAGGTTAGCCTAAACAAACTTGAACTCTACACATTTAGCCATCTTCATAAATCTTACATACAAAATCATTACAAAAAGCAGCTTGTTAATCATCATTAGTGGGAACTGCTCAATATCTCACTGGGCTCAAACAAGCCTGCTATTCCAAAAAACAATTCTGCTTTCACAGTTGATTCACTGGTGTCTTACCAGCTTTAGTATTTTTATCATGAACTATCTATTTCCGAAGCCTTTCTTAAATTGCACCTCCTCCATTTCCACAAGCCTCACGTCCTTCACCCTGCTACGCCAGAGTCAGAGCTGCTAAGCACTCGATTGCCTCCGCACCTCCTTAATTCTACCCTGTTCAGGCAACAGGTTTATTTCCCTGAAACATGGCAGATCTTGGAAAAGGTGCCTTTTAGAACATTTCCTCACATTAGGATTAATTCTGAATTGGCGTTAATTGTTGGAGGTCTGTTAAGAACTACATAATTTGTTGCATTTTATTTACTTTATCTAAAAAGTATTCTGGTAATTTTTTTCTCCTCTTTCTTATATAGATTGGAGCTAAAATAGCTCCACCATTACTTGGCTATGATTTAGCATTTGGGGGGAAAAACAAGCACTTTAGAACTGCGTGTACACTTGTTCACTAATGGAGAATTAGTTGCTGCCTAAAAATCTTGCAAATTAAGCAACTTGCAATGCAATACAGTAATACGTTTCTTTTACAAACCCTCATGTTCTCCAAAACCAATTTTATTTTCCTAGGATAAACAATATTTCTACTAATTTTATTCATCAGGACTTACTTCAGTCTCAAAATACAAACCTGGAAAATGCAACTGGAGGTTTTCAAGTGATGTCGAACTTTCTTGCCTGTTATTTTCTCTTCTTTCTCAACAGGTTCCTTCTCATTGTGATCAAAGCTTGAACATGTGAATGGGTTTTCTTAGTTTCCTCTCCCCAAACCTTTTAAAAGTACTATACAAAAATGAATTTCGGTCACTCTGATATGTTCAGGGCTGTTGCTGTCTCTGTGATGAGCCTGTGAGCTTGGAGCAACCTCTGCAGCTGGAAAAGAACATGCCACTGACTGGCCATGCCAGTTACTTGTGCTCTGTTTTCTCCTAAGCCTGGACTGCACTGCACGTCATAGGGACCGCATCCCGACTCCTTTTTGAGCTAATACTGGCCAAACTACGGTCGGACTGTGCCGAGGAAATATTTCCCCTCTTCCCGACTTCTGTTCCTCTAAATCCTTGGAATTAAAAATCCTTTCTTTCTGATATCCTAACTGTATGCAAAAGCAAACTTCTGCCTGCTCAGTCTGCCTTTGCTACAGCCCAGCACAAACGCACCTTGTGCTGTCACAACTGTCGCTTTGACTTCAAGTTTCTGAAGAACAGCCCACTTTGCAATTCTAAAGCCTCTTAACTATGGTTTGAGCATCATAAACATCACTTTAGCCAGAGTTAGCACCAAGAGTGGTCCCTCATCCTTTCTCCAAATTTGCTCCTTCCGCAAGCATCTTCCACCTGTAGAGGCTGTTCTGCTTCTCCAGTTTTATTGGAAAAATGGGAGGGTTTTGATTTGTTTTGTAAATCACTTGAGCTGTATTATGGGAAAAGACAAGCCTCAGAAATTCAGGCCCTCTGATTTTGCTCTTGTTGATGAATGTTGCTGCCTTTGTTGAATGATGGAGCAGGTTTCTTCACACTTTTCATTTTGGAGCTCATGCTTAGCAACTAAATAACTGAGGCAAATATCTGATGGACTCAGACATTCTTTTAAGGAACATATTCTGTGTTCTTTGTCAAGAAATAAGAACCATAGGAGACATGCTGAAAGCTTTTATTTTCAGGACTGACGTGGAGAGCTGGAATGTTTAGGACTTAGCAAGGTCATTGGTGGATGAGAATGATCTTTCATGTTCCTCTGGTTGAAGAGATTGAGCCCTGTATAAGGAGTGTGGTGTAGTCAGATAGGGGCTAAATTAAAAGTCTTTTCACTGACCTAGTGGCCTATGGAGTGGATGCAACCTTAGAAGCTTCCCTGTACTTTCTGAGATACTCTTCCACATAGACAGGGTATCTCTGTCTTCGCTTACCTCACCTCTTTTAAAGACACGGAAATGGGTAACAGATGGGAGCGGAGTGCAGCATGGAGCAGCGTGGTCCACCATAGATAGCACACTTAAAACCTCTCTGCTTAAGACATGGGAAGAAATGAAGGAAAAAGGATTTTGCCCATTACTAATTCAAAATGAGAGTAGTTGATACATGATTTAAAGTATGAGGAGTGCTGTTTGTAGCATCGCAGGAAGAACCTGAAGATACAGTGAAGCCCTGAAGTCATGAACAGAGCCTTGCCTTGCTCTGCACAATCTATCACAATCCAAAGGATAAAGCAACGGAGAAGCCAGTATGTTGACATGCAAACTATTTTATGGTCATGTGGTTTTCACCATTTGAGGGCAGGATCTGGTATGACCTGAGAAGAGAGCTTAACAGTTACTACAGAAGATAAGATTCAATTAGGAGATCTGCAAAACACTGTGTGATTGAAGATGTACGAAGATCACAGACTATGTTGAACTGACAGACAAACAAAATGATAGCAGGTAGAAGTCAAACAGGTAAAAGATGCAGATTAGGGCAGGAGGCTGAAAAGAAAGGCTAATGAGGGCATTGAAAGGCAATGCTAAATTTAGCAAGAGACCTAACTTTCAAACCATGAACAGATGATCAAAGTTACTCTGTCTTCTGCAGATTTTCACTCAAAGTACAGCACAGAAGACTTTTGATTCTCACAGACAATATACAGTCTTAAAATAGATCTCAAGACATGCTTTAGGACACTGTGCCTAAGATCTTCCCACACAGAAACACACTGCTAACTCTTGATCTAAATGAGGTCTGACGTTTCCAAGGTGTATTTTCAATGTAGAACAAACCTAGCGTAGAAGCATGTCAGGATTTTTCTTTTTAAAAAAAAAAATTGATTTATTGTTATTGCAAATCCTGATGTTGCAACTTGTGTGATCACTGCAAAAAAAGGTTTTCCATTTTGTGTTCCTCCTCACCACGAAATCCATGCCTGAGCTTCTCACACAAGCTACCACACCACTGCTCACACCGCTTCAGCACGTAAGGGAGCCTAATTGCTGAGACCCATCGCTCTGACCTACAGCGGTTCGCAGCTGACTCATTCTGCTAAGAGGCAACTGCAAAAGTAGCATCCCATTTTTCAGCATCAAAATTACTGCCAAAAAAACCCCCAAACAAAACAAAAACAACTTCTAGAGAAATCATCAGTATTTGGTTATATGTTACTATCACACAAGAAATTGAAGTTTTAATAAAACAGTGATTACTGAAAGATACGGTACTTTTTAAATATATTGTGTGGGAAATGATTACAGAAATAAGCTTCTAATATTCTGTCTTGATAGAAATAATACACACACACACAAACTAAGAGACAGAAAGACAATATGCAGTACAAAAATTTTATTGACATGAATTTGGCATGACTGTTTTACATATAAAGGTGAAGTGTTAGGAAACAGTTAGGTAATCCTTTCCTCTTCCAGGCTTAATTTGAGAAAAAAGCTACTTCGGAAATTATTGGCGTGACCATGTTACTGTCCATAGCTCTCAAAACCATCTCCCGATAGCCCATCAGAAGGCATCGAAGTCTGATCTCAAGAAAACTCTGCACTTTCCTCTGCCTTCCAGATGAGGTATCGAGACAGTGAGCGTTTCCACATTCTTACAGTTCACAAGTCTGTAACTGTAGCTACCGTAAAGAGAGATTGGGGAAATATTCCCTTCACAGAAACTCTCCCTCATGGGAACATGATCTATCTCTGTAATGGGGGGAAAAATGAAAAAGACTTAATTTTAACTGCAACTCAAGTATAATTTCACAGCAATTACATCTTAAATCCACAATAGAAATTGATAATTACATAGTAACTCATATTATCGCTACTACATTATCTCTGATAATACTGTAGTTAAGCTTGTGCTCCAATTCCTTTTCAGTAAAATCTGTTTCTGTAAAACACTATTATTTCCCGGATACTTTTAAAACACTAATGAAGCATATAAAAGTTTTTACAGTATACAAGAAAAACTAAGTTAATAAATGATCACATTTTCTTCAATTCTATCAAAGAATAAGAGTCTGAGAAAAATAACTTTTATTGCATTTTAATTTCTCAATCTCTTTCCTTTTTTAAAAGAGAAAAGCTATAATGGAAATTCATGACATTTTAGATGAAGAGAAGTTTGGGAGAAACAAAAATCACAATTCAGCAGGCAGATGATGGGGAAATCAAAGTATTTAATATGGCTTGTAGCTGAAAGTAATTGATCTGCATTTCCAATCATTTTAGTTATTGCCACATTCCATTAATTTTTCATTAAGTGAAGATAAAAACATGTCTTTAAAATGCATGTACAATAGCTTTAAGCCATTGCTGTACATATTGTGCAACTCATCTGGATGCAGTTTAACACGTGAACTTAATAGAATATATTTATGTACAGTATATACACAAACAGAATCCTGTGGTAGTACCCCTGAATATTATCATTTAAATGAGTAATTTCCATAATAAAAGAAAAAAGAAAATCTATGAAGGTGGCAAAACTGCCTATTTCTGAAGTTTAAATCAATATAATTTCTAGCTGATTTACATAGAAATAAAACTGTGGTCCTGTACAAACTTTACATTACAGGGAAACAGTTTATTTTTAAAAAATATTTACATATTTGAGTACTTGGTTCTTTGCAATAGAGATTATATGAACACAGAAATTGTACGGTAGGCAGGTTTATTTATTAGATTTTTCTATTTGTTCTTTTTTGTGCAAATTCCAAATCTCTCTTTTTGTGTTATTATCTGCTTCTATTTGCCTTGTATTACTGCTGCTGCTTTTTTTAGTATTCTGAGAAGGCTGGGTGACTTTACTTCTAGGAACAGGAAGAAAAGATTTAACTCTTGAAACACCCAACTCTGTCTTTGATTTACTGTTGCTGCTTTCCACAGTTCGACTGCTGCTGAGAGGACGCATTCCATCCTATGAATAAAAAAAAGCATTTTCTGTATAAATAATTATTGCTGTTTGACCTGAAAAACAACCAACCAACCCACCTTACCAGCCCCATGGAACCCTTGTTATTTACAATCTTTTGCAGTTTAATATGACAGCTGCTTACTACTTGGTGAACAAACTATGGCTCTTTTTTGCTTCTTTGACTGAAAGGAAATATCATCAACATCTTGGAATACCAGAATAAGTCAATGCGATTTTTGCATTGCCATTGAAAAAAACTTAAATTTGATTCTCAGAGGTCTCAATTTCAGAAGTACCTAAATAAAAAAAATACATGTTCTTTCTTTCATTACTGTGCAAATATGACAGCTGCAGCCACAGCTAAAAGGAAAAAAATAGGTAGTTATGAGCAGAAAATTCAGCTTTACAGCTTGAATAAAGATATTTAACTTTTTTGTACCATCACTGCCACAAATAAAAACAAAATAACCATGAGAAAAATAATACTTCAAGAACGGAAGTTGAAATGCTACATTTTAATCCACAATCTCATAGATTGTTCTCTTATGAATTAGATTTTAGCATCTCAAATTATTTGTTCTAAGAAGCTACATTCTTAAAAAGTGGACTATATTCACCCTCTCCAAATTTAGATAGCTGAAGTGCCAAAGTGAGGTATGTTGTCACTTTTTGTTCCTTTGTAGTCAAGGAGAAAGAGGTTAGTTAAGCCATTTTACGATGGTCACTAACATACATCATAACATACATAACATGAGAGATGCCTATTTTTCCACTGACAGGAAAGGAGAATTAGGACCTTAACTGTTAGCATCAGTTGCATCCAGATCACCCTCTGGGAAGCAATATTAAAAAAGTTCATTTTCACCATCAGCTACTGCTCCTCACATAAAGGTTGGTAGCATGAAAACAGACTAGTCATTGCTGTCTATTCCTTATTAATCCTTGATTTCATCAATTTGTGTCCTGGATCAAAGATTTTGCATCTCTTACCAGTTTTCTCTTTCTCCTTCACATACTTGAAAGCTTTTTTAGTTTTAGCCAATTAAAATAACATTATGGGTATGTTGCCATTTTAAGTAATTTGTCTTATTACTGTTGATAAGATCTCCACTGCTCATGCAGCATTGCTTTTGTTACCTACAGATTTCTATTTACCTTTTGAACAGAATGCTTTTCTAACCTCAAACTCTTTTTCAGACACCAGTTCTTGCAGCTGCATAGGTTTATCATCATTACTATTGCCTCTAAAAGTTTGACTTCTGCTTCCGAACTGAGTGTGCGCTCTTCTAGATTTTTGATAAATTTGTTGCAGTAATTATTAAATCTAGAAAGAAAGCTTGTCATTCAGTTAGACCTCTTTCCCCTCTAGCAAAATGTTGGCTTGTGTTTCCTTCATTTTGGCCAACATCTCCCCAGAAAGATATGGGAAATAATTTTTTTTGTAATTCTGTATGAAATCTTTTGACTAAGTTCTTCAAAAAATTCAAAGGTAGCTAAGCTTGTCTACCTCCAGAGTCAATATAGTTATGCCTTACATTGTTAGAATGAATTTTAAAAGGAAAAAAATTCACTAGGAAAAATTTACAGTAGGAACAGGTAAGGAACAGGTAAGTCAGCTGACTTACCAAATTATCCAGGCATCACTACTATGTGAAGCTCTGATTTGGAAGGTCTGAAATTAATGTATTTACAGAAATACTCAAAAGCAGCATATCTAAATGTGGATCTGCAATGTTAAAATTGTTTCTGTTCAGCAGAGACTGTTCTCTGGATTTTAAGTGAAATTACAGAAACTATTCTAACATTTTGAATATTTGGATATGAAAAATTCTGATGGCAAGGGTGGCAAGTCATCTCATCCAACTTAACTTTTTTAATGCTTAGGTGTGCAAGTTAAGCTATTTTCAGGGCTACTTCATTGTACCTGCAGAAAATAGACAGTTTCTCTATAAAACAATTTATTGCAGTCAGATAAAAGTGTCTGGATTGGACTCTAGAGGACCCTTTATTGCGGGAACACAGAAGGCCTAGCAAGGGAACATAGACAACAGATTCTGCCCTGGCTAATGTTAGAGCTGTGCGCTCTGAAGCTCTCTTGATGTTCAAAAACACAAGGAGCAAGAAAGAAAAGGGAAAAAAGTGTAACAATGAATAAAGCGTAATTTTTACTTTATTATCCAAAGAATGAAAAGTAAGCGGGATATAATTTCATCTTCATATTTAGTAGGGAAGTTAGCGCCCACAAACAGTGATTTCAATTTCAAGAAGAAGAAAATACAGTGGACCTATTATACCTTTCAGTAGTACTCAGCTTATCTTCCCACTCTGAAATGGCTCTGAAGTTAGTAAAGTGTGTTTATATTTAGACTATCTTTTCCCAGAATCACCAAACTTATAACATAGGGTTTCTTTTGATTTCTCATAAATAACGTGGCAAGACAACAGTTTATTACAACAAATAGCTAGGTAGAAAAAAAGAAACTGAATCCCTTCTTAAAAAAAGATAACGCTATTCTTCACAAACTCTGGTAATATCAAGTCTTCTCAAAATTTCTGCCACTGAGACCTTTGACACCAGAGCAGCTCAATTCTACTTAGATAATAACACTTAGGAAAACAGTGGTTTGAAATCATATATATTTGGGTAATCACGAAAAAAAAAAAGGTACAAAAATAAACCATGAGCCAGCAATTTTACATCAAGAATTTAAAAAAGTTTTGCACTTTTGCAAACTTACTGAATAGCATTAATTGGGGGAAAAAATGAACCTGGGGCTTTTCTCTTAAAATCTGATGCAAATAACTTACAATATCAAAGTAATGTTAACAATACTTGGCCTAGGGAGATGGCTTTATGTAAACATGAAAACTGAAACAAATACATCCATTGTTTAATAAATCTTTAGTTTCCATTAAGACACATGGAAGAAACTTGGCATAGTATGTCTAGCAAGTTTCCTAAGGATCGTGACAGTTTATTCTTGTAATAAACAGGTCACTGGATCTTTGGACCCAATCAGGAATTCAGATTTTGGAGCAACTCAAGACACCTTCCCTATCCTACTACAAAACTTGTTTCACCTACCTTTTGTGCTGTTGTTTTACTTGGGTTAGTACCACTTGCTGAAAACACAGGACTGTTCTGAGAGTTATTGAACATCAATAGCTCATCCTTAGAATCTGCAATCTAAAAAACATAAGAAAATGTTGATTTTTTAATTATTCACAGCACAAATTATGTTTCAATTTGCCAAATTTTGGAGTCCTGATTTTATTTTCATGTAGTTTCTGTGCAATGCAATGCAAAAATATCCAAAGAACAATTAAAATATCCTTCCTTTACTCTTGAGTGCATTTGTAGGAGGTGGGAGATAAAGACAGAGATTTCACATCAACTATTATCAGAGGAAGATTAAACGTACATTTCCAGAGCAATACTATTCAGCAGAGCTTAAAGGCAGTTTCACGTTAAGTTTTGTTCAGCCCCAGGAACATCACAGAAAGGAATGATCCTTTTCTCTTCCTCCTGCCATGTTTCTTCCCTACTATTTTCTATTAAATCTTGTGACCATGCAATAGCAGGTAGAGTCTGATCAGCCTTCCGTCCTCACTAAGAACTAGCTATTTTATCCTGGGGCAAGCTGATCCGATTGAACTCTGCAACTGCAAAAGTACTCAATCCCAGCAAAACAGATGGAGAAGGAACATATTTGAGTGAAAGGGCAAATGAGAGAGTAGAAGCACTTATTTTGATGGCAGCCTGAAATTACATCACACAAAGAAAATATGCAACAGCACCCTTACTTCTGTAAGGCTCTACTAGGCAGCTAGGGAATTAACAACAGAAATTCCAGCCATGGATGGTTCCACCCATGGTGAGGAAACTGAACAAAAGACAGTGACATCTATCTCCTTCCTTATCTAACCCATATTTCCTTGAATTGTCAACAACAAGCAATTACATTTTACATGTTATTAAACACAATTTTAAGTTGGTTACCATTTCTTTAAGCACATCTCATTCTTTCAAGGATAGATATGGTAAATCCCTGCTAACTGACTAGAGATTAGCTTGCCAGCTTGGTGCATGTGACTCATGCAAGTATGGTAAGTACTTTAAAAAAAAAAAAATCTTCCCAAACACAGTGTTTCTTTTTTTAATAAAAACTTGGTTGACTTCTAAGAATAAACAGAATACTTAATAAAGCAAAACTAATGGAACTGCTATTCAGGGAGATCCTAGAAGATATAATGCACAGCCTAAGTGGACAACAGCCTAAGACTGACTCTGTCTGTGTTTTAAAAGAGATGGATCAGCCGCTCCAGTGTGAGCACAGCCTGCTGCCACAGCCATCTACTTCAGCTGTGCTAGGAGGAAAAGAGGAAAAGACTAAATAGCTACAGCCTCAGGGACAACTGGATGCTTTTGGTGTAGAATGAAAAATGAGAGAAATCCACGGCTCTACTCCCCACTCCCATAGGTTATGGCCTCCCATAAATACCCAAAACCCATTCCAGCATAGAACTTAGCCCGAAACCTATGAGCCTTGCAAGCCTCCTCCACCCTCTTCTCCCACTGTTAAAGAAAAAGAATTAGGCCAATCCATTCTTTCTTGCTTGGGGCAGCAAAACTGAATTTTGCCTACACAGCAGAGGAGCTTTGAGCCAGTTCTGTGATGGCTAATGGGATTATATTAAACAAACCAAATGTGCAATGTGTATTAGGAAAAACTTTCTATGTCTTTAAGACTACAAAACAGTTTCCCAGTGGAAGCAATGACAGCGTAAAAGATAACATGGAGAACAATAATGCAGAGAAGGCTATTGTCTCTAGCATTTATGAACTCATAAATTTCAGCCTCCATTGCAAAAACCTCTACAAAAAAAATAGTGAAGGTGTAATTTAAAATAATGTACATTAAACCAGAACAGTTACCCTCAAATGTATAATTTATTAGTTGACTTTGGCTTATTCCCAAATAATTTAATAATTTTCTTCAGTTCAGGCAGCACTTGCAATTTAAAAATTTATTTTAAACATGTAGCAAACAACTGCATATGTTAATGACAAAAATTATTTAAAAACCTTGTGTTTACCTTGCTTATATCAGGCTCAGATTTGCTGGAACACATACTTTGAAGTTCCTGCACAAGATCTACTTCATCATCCGAACCAAGGGACAGCCTTTGCTCCAGATTTAACTTTCTCAGTTGATCCTTCTCTGAAGATCTAATTAAAAAAATCCCCAAGCCAAGAGAGGAATTAAAGTTAATCTATGATATACAATTTAAAAATAAATATTATACACACCTGGAAAATAGTAATTTCTTTCCAGGTGATCTTTACTACCGCGAACAGAAAGAAAATAACATCTAATTAAGCCGCAGCAATAGCTGTCAATAGTTGTTATATCATAACAGATCTTTCTATTCAAATTATTCTCTCCATTCTGAAATTTTAACAAAGGATTCTTCTGCCCACTATCTGCCAAGATTCTCCTCTTTTTAAGATGCAGTTTTATTCTGCTTTCCTTTTTGGACTTAATTCCAAACACTAAAAAAAACCCCTGGCACACTGGAAGCATAAGTGTTTTATGCTCTCTGTGCCTGTGAATATGGTAGAACCAAGGTTTCAGACTGAAGAACAGTCTCAAATGCAGTTCCCTCTGGCTAATTTGTACACTTTCTTAGAGAAACACTGTATCATTTAGACTAAAGTGCATGTACTGTACCATTCTGAATTGCCATTCAGTAAGCTAAAAGAGCCAGAGGAGTTTTTAAAATATAATGCCAGGTGAAAAAAAACATACGGTTGGCTTTTCATGGCAGAGTAAGTGTTACATAATATTCTTAAGTCATAGACTATCCTGTTACATAAAAAGACATGTAGTGCTGCAAGGTTTGTATTACAGAAATGGATTCTAAAATTATATTGAAGTACATAAATTTTATTTTCTCTCGGAAATGAAAATGAAAAAGGTTTCCTTTCGTCAGATGTAGAACCAAAACATTACCAAATACAAACTCTTCGCCTATTCATTATAATGTGCTGCTTTACAACACAATTTTATCATCTTTATTGTTTGCTAAGTGTTACAAATACCAGAAATTAAAACTTACTTTGTGGTGAGAGAAGCTCTTTTCTTACAGTTTGGTGGCAACATAGTCTTAGATTTTATACCTGCACAAGAGAGAATGACTTGTTAGTGTGTTATCATGTGCGTTGATTTCTTCATTCTAAAATCTGTGATAAACAGGGAAAATGTGTTCCCATTTACTGGCTAATTATATCAATGAAGTCTGTTAAAGATCAGAATACATCCCTTGAAACTGCTCAGAGTCGCATTAAGGCCACATGGAACTGCTAAAATGGCAAATGAGGCATGAGTTGCCCAAACTTTGGTGGAAGACAGAACATGAGGTTTCTGTGCGAGGCACTTGAACCACCTTTACTAGTTCTCTAAAAGAGAAATCACTTGTCAACAGGAAAAGATTTAAGTTGGCTTCATTTAAGTAAAGTCAAACAACTTACCCTTACTTGGAATCAGGAACAATTGATTCTGATAGTTGGAAATGGAAGGCTACTAAATTAAATTCACCATCCCATTTTTTACTTATATTCACAGTTATTAACTGGACTCCAAGAACATTCTCAGGTACAAGATACAGTATCAACCATCCTACTTCAAGTTATGTTCACTTGATTTCTTAAGTCCTCTTAGAAGGACTAGATAAGTTCACAATTCAGAGAACTAGCAAGCAAAATCAGGACATTAGAGTTGCAGTTCAGCAAAAGCAGACTTCTTTCTGAACAACAGCTGAAGAGATGAGTATCTCAATTTAACATTACACAGTAGCAGACATCAAGTATTTCAGTCTTTTATATATGAGGTAATTGAGGCTAGAATCTTACTGTGTCTAAAGTATGTGTGTGGGGAAGCCTCTTTCTCTCTAAATCCCTTCCTAACTCTTCTCTCTGAAGGAGTTACCCTCATTTTCTAAAAGCAAAAATAAGTAATTTGATTTTGCCCTCTAGAAGTTTTCCTCTTTGATATTGTATTCGGTTATGGTATTCCTAAATCTTCCTTCTAGACAGATGTGTACTTTTCGAAGAATGATATGTTGCTTCTGCACATATCCAGACGTTATCCTTGTGTAGTGAACTGCTTGTTAGATGGCTTATCATCTTGAGGTGAAAAGACATTTCAAAAGTGTCAGCTACTAATACAACTTTCACATTTATACACATGCATAGACCCAGTCATATAAAGCCTTCTTTATCAAGCAGCATACTGAAAGTGATGTGGAAACTTATTAAAAACTTTGCAGTATCTGTGACTACACAGGGTTTTTTTACATTTATTTTTTGCAATTAAAGTGAAAATCAAACAAAAATCTTCAATTTAAAACCAAATATCTCTTCCTTCCACTACAGGGCTTCTAGATTATTCTACGCAATTTATCTAATAAGATTGAACAAGGGATGCATGATCTGAGGATGCATGTATTAATTTATTTTTACTTGGATTCAGACAATAGAAATTATTGTAGTGAAGCTATAAAGTATATGTAAAAATGCCCCAAAAGTAGGTATAATGTAAATTACGTGCAGAACTAAGGAGTACCAATTAAGTAATGAAGCTTTCTCTCATCCGGTATTGAGGAAGAGAATGATAGAACATCATTCCATGCAATATAAGGTGGAACCACTGCTCAATCTTCCACCATCTGAGCCAAAGCCTACCTCATTATCAGACAACAGGAAGGGCATTAGAACAAACAAACAAACAAAAATGATAAGTAAGATACCTCACAGTCACAAAGAAATATTTTTTTAGGGAAAAAAGTAAACAATTTTTTACTGGTAAACATAAACACAAGTGCCATTTAATTGAGAATTTTTAATTCATGATGTAGAAGAAAAGTTAAATTCCTATCTACGCATCTTAAACCCCCACACCTTCTTTCAGAATTGAAAATAGAAAGCTTTACCTTCAGAATTTGTCTCCTGCTTATTCCATGACTGGGAGGATAAATGGCCTGACTTTTTGCGAGGACTTGTGCTCACTTTTCTCCAGGAAGCATTCTCACCTCTTTTCTTACTACAATTTTTGTAGCTCGAAACCACGGATAAAGGAAAATTTCCTCCCTTAAAATCTGCTATATAATTATCTAGCTCTGAAACAAAAGTAGAACAATGAGAAGAATTGACTGTTGCAATTTGACTACCTTATACAACTACTTAGTTTAGTGACTGTGAATGCTTTTAACCACTCACCTCCCATCATAGCTACAGTTATGTTTTGTTAAGTTTTAAAAAAAGGAATCAAACAGTTAAAAGCCCCACTTCGGCAATGTACAACTACTTGCCTTTCTGACTGTTCACTGTTACCTGTTCTGGGTAGAGGACAGCCATGCAAAACAGCTTTATTTAGCAAGATACTGAGAGCAGCTTTAACAACAGCCTGTTGACCTTGGCTAGGATTTTTTTTGGCTATTGTTTGTCCTGGTACAGATGGTCTTTTCACAGAGGCTCTGGAGAGTATTGCTTCTTGAACTCTGGGAGCTATCACAGCATTCCATAATTTTGACATCCACCTGTAGGGCACATAAACAATCCCTTAACTTCAGAGACAATTATCAAAACCCAAGATTTTATACTTTGGGTAGCATATCAGATTTTGCATTTTCAGGAAGCACATATATTTTGGACTTCCTATTGTACCCCATTTCAGAGAGGAATTGATTTTATTTAAGGTAGGGTTTATTTGTTTGCTTTATATTAAATTATTTGACCTAACTTTCTTCAGGCAAGCTATTTACCATCTGATGCTTTTTCTCCTTCAGATAAAGACTATAAAACATCCTTTTCATTTTAAGGCTTAAAGAAAGAATGTCCCAGAAAGATCTGTGTTCATGTATATACAAAAAAATCCCCTTTCACCTTTGCCAGTGCATGGAGAAGTTTCCATGCTTGCAGGTGTCCATTCATAGCCTATTTGCTGCCAGGGTGGAAAAAAGGAGGTATTCAGTTATGATTGCACCCTTTCCAGTATTCTTCCGTTTCCAAACTTCTCCAGCTTACAAGACCTTTCTATTCATACAGCTGCCTTGCTCTCACTCTCCTTTTGTTTATTTGATCTATGGTGAACTGTGTTTCCAGGATGCCGTGGATATTCCAGATTGTCTGGTTTAGAGACCGGGTCTGATTACAAAAATTTGATTCAAAGGGACATGGTTCTTGTGGGATTTTTGCTTTTCTAAGAGAGAAATATTACATTCTTTTAGCACAGAAGTGAAAAATTTGTATCAGGGAATAAATAAATGCTATTTGTTACAGCTTAGAGTTCTCAAGGGATAAAGGCTAGGAGTTTTAGGGTTAAGGCTCACCTTGCACCTATAACAGACACCGAGACAATGTTTTTTAGATCAAATCCAACTCTTTTTTTTTCCTTATACCCTCTTAAGGGAAGAAGATGGTAAGATTGAGAGTCAGAGGGTTTATATTAAAGGTCTACAGGAAATGACAGGCTATAATACGGTGTTTCAGCTTTGCAGAAATCCTTTTAGAAAAAATGAAGGCTAAAATGTCTGTTTGACTTAAATGAACCATTTTGTTGGATATGTTGATACACAGAAGCCATCTTATTACCCAAAAGATTATGATTTTTTTTGTTAGTTAAAAAGAAAATGCAGGCTTTTTCTTTTCTTTTTTTTTTTTTTTTTTTTAAAGTTAGAATACATGAATCATTTGATAGATGTATTTTTTGTCAGTTATGAAGCATAAGATTGAGTTTTTATGATATATATCCATGCTACAAAGTGCTGGTATAAGCTTGATAAAAGTTACATTACTTAGAAAAATAATTAGTACAGTTGTTAAAATAAGATGTAAAATGCATATTGGAAATGTTCCTTGAAGCTTCCTTAGCGTGATGTTGTGGATACCATTCCATATAGACACAGTCTGCTTGTGCTAGCTGAGTTAAGCTACCAAAATAAACAATTGCTTTCATTTTAGTGATACAGAACTCTGTCTCTTGATTTCTGCCTAGCTAGTATAAATGGTCAGAAATGAACGACGGAAAGAAAAAATTATTTAAGCCCATTTTAATCTAACAGTTAACAGTGAATGGGCTGTACAATGCCGTCCTCTCAATAAAATTCCAACCTGGTGTTTAAATTCAGTCCTACATTTGCTTTTCATTTGTGCTCGTCTTGATCAAGTCCACAGTTCTTTGATATATGTGATACTTTGGAAAGGTATAACACTCCCCCGCCCCTGAAAAAGAGCTGTAAAGCAAAACTCTTTACTGGTGGAACATCATCTTTAATTCCCCAGATCAAAACCAAGAAAAAAATGTAGCTAAAATTTTCATTTATTCATTCTGCTCTCCAAAACGTGAAGCTACATGAAACAGCACACAGCAAGAAACAATTTCCTGTCACGCCTTCTCTCTTCCTTCCCAGCTGCCTGCTTCTACCCCTTGCCTCGTGCTAATACTTAGCCCAGAACAAACCAAATTTGTAGATAGCTGTCTGCTGTCTTAATGAATTGAACTGACTCAGTGAAGCTTTAACAAATGCAGAAAGTACCAGAATAGCACAGTGGAGAGGAGGGGTAAGAGGACAGGAGTGGTTAATTAGATCGAAATAACAGCAACCAGTGAGCTGCTAATTAAACGTATTTATTGCTAGTTACATGACCACACTGTTAGTCGTCATGCTGCTAAACTGAAAGCGTCCAGTAAGTGCTCACTGGAGCTGTACTTTTTAATTGTTTATTGGTGGACAAAAACTACATTAAAATGAGGAGTCAGATGGCATATCACTACTGTAAAAGACATTTTGGGCTTGTGCTCTATATAAATAAATAAATAAAGCATTATGAATCCAGTCCAAATTACACTTAGTAGAAATCCAAACTCAGAAATGCATAATTAAGGTATCCAAAGAATATTTTTTCTGTCCTCTACTAATGCCATTGCAATAAATAAATGATTAAGACATTTCAGAGGACATCATTCAAGAGGGAGACAGGAGATAGATGCATGGTATACTTCATTCTTTTTTTATTTCACAGCACCCATAAAATTTCAAGTCAATGCTACATCCACATTTAGACTTTGATAATTACTCTGGATATTAGATAATCTGTCCTTTTTTAAAAAAAAAGGAAAATGAACAAGCAAAATGTATCAAGAACTGCAGACAGAACAAAAGATGAGAAAGCCAGTGCACACACTAAGCAAAGGACCCTGGAAGAAGGGTCAGCAGAAACTAGTACACAAGAGAAAAGTCAGAGAGGGAACAGAAGTGGCAATTCAGGAGAAGCAGGGTGAGAAAAATAATGTTGCATCTCCAGAAACCAACGTTATTATTTGAATTCTAAATAAGTTTGAATCTTAATTAGGGGCTCATTACCTTTCTAATATAGCCAAGCAACATCTTAGCATGAAATGAATGTATTTTAAAATTCTATAACTATTTCTTGTACCACTTGCGAGCATTAGCAGAGAAGTTGGAATGTGAGCAGATGTTCATACAATTGTAGGCAAGAAAACATAACATTTTCATCATTCTTCTTTTATGTTACTGGACATCTAACCATGTGTATAGCTAAAAAGTATATATCTGCCTTATTTACTAAGATAATACATCTGTGAAATTGTATGTATGTTTAAAAATTATATCCGGTATTAAAAAGAATGAGAAATCATTCTCCAAATTTCCCTCATATACAACTTCAAAAGGAAACTTTACCAATTTTCAAGCTCATATTTCTTGAATCTTATATTGCTCTGTTCACTAATGAACAGCTTTCTTTACAGTGCTGTCTTGAAATGAAGAACAGAACCTCTAAAGGGTTGAGCAGTATTAGCCATATTACACAAGTAATATTTTGCAACCTCTGTTGTCAGAAAATAACTGAAAGATCACAACAAGACTGAGTTTCAACCAGCATTAGACAGCCAGTTCCTACTTGTGTCCCTCAGAATTGGTCTTCTAGTAATTAAATATAAAAAAAAAAAAAAATCTTTAAACTTTCAATAACTTCTCCACTAAAATACTTTCAAGGTTGCTGAGTCAGATGGGTTTTGGGAAAAACATAACTGCTACATTTGTAATAAATATCTAGTTGGCACTGAACAGTGTCAAACAGGAAATAGAAATCTTACTTCACTGTCGCTTGGCCATGCCCTGGCACCACAGGACAAGAGAAGAAATGTTTTGGCCCCATAAGTGCTTCAGGCGCTCCTAGACGTGATAAGCAAGAGTTCAGCTGGTGCCAAACAGCAAGAATCCAGTCTATGATCTTGCACACAGGATCACATGGAGGAGGTACTTTGCCTCTGAACTGCAGTGAGAAAAGATGTTTGATGTGACATAAGACCTCTGCTGCAAACACTTTCCTTGAAACCCCAAGAAGGCTTGTTTTTTTTTTTCCTGGTATATTGCTATTACAAAAATCAGGAACAGTCAAAAACTGGTCAAACCTTTTTATGGAATATATTGAAGTCTTGTTGTATTAAAACTTATTTCCCCAACTATACTTTAAAAGATACCTCCTTATCAGTAAATTGACATGCGTCTACTTTCTTGTGGGAAACTGAGACACAAATTTGTCAGCAGTGCTTTTTCTATGGTGTTTAAGATTAGGATTACAAGAGATACCTGCCATACCCTATACAATGTATATGATATAAATAAGGCATATAAAAGAACGTACAATCACACTGAACAGGAATGTCTGATTCAGGCATGTTCTCAGTGGATTTCCATATTGATCTTAAGATTTAGTGGCAATGAAAGAAAGATGCCTTCACCTAAGACTTACATTTTTTTAGTATGCCTTGTTAAAGGCAAATTATTTGGTGCCAGAAAAATCTTCTATTTCATCTGACTCCAAATTACAGTCTTCATCATCCTAATCCTAGGATTATCCTCTAGAACAGTTTGAATTAAAGGAAGCATTAAAAGATGCACTAGGGATAGTATTTGCCAGCACTGAAGCCAGAGCTTCTTGACAGAGTCTACATGTAAACAATATAAAGTTAATGTAGAAAAACATTGAAACTGTTCCCATATACCCTAATAGTCCAAAAGAAGGGGAAAAGAACTTTTCATCTGAAAACATAAATATTAAGGCACAAACAAGGTATCAGAATACAGAGCAAGGATCTTTTGAAATAATCTATTGTTCAAAAAATAAATGTGCTTTTACTTTCCCTTAGATTTTTTAACAGATTAATCTTTCTTCTATTTTTAACTTTGGAATCCACTATTTTAAGCCCCACACCAACTGGCATTTGAGTTTGCATATGGCACTTGTATGTATGGAAAAAAAAAAAAAAGTACTAGTCCACTGGGCATTTTTATTCATTATTTAATTAGGGAAGATACAGGAAGACACATGGCTTTTTTCTCCAAATAGCCACTATCTGCATATATGCTTTAGAGAAAATAAGCTCAGTGAGATTGCTACCCAAATTCTGTTCAACTTCAGTCAGAGGTAGGACCCTATTACATTGTTAAACTCTAACCTATGGGACTAAGGATTGCTTTTAAGCCTAAACAAAATAGCCTGAAAATGACATCTGTTACATGATGCTGCAATTTCTGGTAGCCAAAGCAGTTTGGCAGAGTAAGTTTGATCCAGCCTTTGCCTGTGAACAAGTCAGAATACCACTGCTTCTGCAATCGTCTGCATTGCTGTATTTCTTGGCCTTGTGCTCAACTGAAGACGGGCCCTTCTCTTTGATCTTGAATGCTCTACGATCAAAGTGTTTCTGTCCTTTTACAAAGGGGCTTAGATCACTAGATATTCTCTCCAGTGCAGGCTTGGAATACAATCTTCCTTCTCAAGACAATGGAGGAGAATTCTGCTACATAGTTTTATTGCACTGTCCTCTGGCCTATATCTCATTCGAGCACTATAGCGTATCTGCAAGGTACCAGCTTCAACCAACCCACCTACTTGCCTACAGACAATTGCTACCCTCCCCATCCCCTGCAAGGATTCTGGAAACTATTCATACCCTCAACCAGACAACCACTCATAATGGTTCCAGCTTACTATGTCTGCAGGGACTCCAAGATTTAAAGCACGTGGGGAAAAAAGGAAACATTGTTACACACAGAAAAAAGTACTTATAAATAACTATGCACCTGAAAAAAGTAATCAAAGGGAAGTATTCTATTAAGAGTTTCATTAATACATTTCATGATTCTTTTTTAATATTCTGTATTCCTGTTGTTGCTATTAAAATAATACATAGGAATGTTTCTAAATTTCTTCATTATCATAACTGAAATGTTCAGTTACCACACATTTCCTCTTTAGGATCTCTCTGAATCAATAAGCTTTTATAGATGAGAACTGTGGCACAGGGTACAGGAGATGACATCCCCAAGGATAACCAAGATACATGCAGCTGAACACTCATGAGAACCGACAGTAGGTCTGTTGTCCCGAGCAGGACTCTCTACTACTGACAGTTTTTTCTATTCCTAGAACAGTCTCTCTTTTTAAGCCTGTTCAGAACTCCGCTGCCAAGACTATTTTCTTTTGCAGCTGTTTCGATTAAACTCCCCCTCCCAACATCTAACACTGCCTGACTGTCTGCAATAGCTGCTATCACACTGGAATAGTTTTCTTCCAAATAACTTTCAAAATTCCACAATTCTGCTTTTGCCCACATCTTTCTTTTCATTTCCCGTCCTCCATTTATTTATTAATGTTAAAACAGACTTCCGATCTTTATTCTCTTTTGGACTTTTGTTCCAGCTTCAGCAGACCTATTGGCTCAAATCAACTCCCTACTAATATATTTTCACCCCTCTTTCCTCTTTGATTTGAAAATCATGAAAACTCTTTCTGCTGCTTAAAACTCACAGAATGCACGCAGAACATACTAGCTTATTTTAGATTTGTAGAACAGACTTCTCCAGGAAGGGATTTTACGTTTGCCGGACAGATTCTTACTATCATGCTCACACAGAAGATGAAAAAAATTACTCAAGGACATTTTCATACAGTGGATAAGCAAGTATCCACAGTATCATTATTTGCAGCCAACCTGCGTGTTTATGCTAATCAGCCATGGCGAAGCACAAGAAGATACACAGCCTATATCTTCTCAGAAATGAATGCTTTTTCCCTGAAACAACTTAGTTATCTGCTCAGCTTTTGACATTACCATTTCACAGACCTGGTGATGAACAAAATTGCTGAAGCTGATTCAAGTTCTTACCTTGTTTATAACTTTTCTTCTTAAAAACCTTTGAAGCAAGCCACACATTGGTTCCCCATCCCACCTAAGTTGAACCCAACGGAAATGCTGCTGAACAAG